TCTTCCCCTTGCGCAGCAAGGGTGATGTCACTGAGGTGTTGATCGACTGGATCCGCGGAGCTCGTCTCCAGCTCAGGAGAAGCTTCGGCTCGGACTTTCCTGTTCTGCGTCTGCACTCTGACCGAGGCGGAGAGTTCTCCTCTGGCCTTCTGCGAGCCTACTGCCGTGCGCGAGGCATCCGCTAGACCTTTACGCTTCCGGACTCTCCACAGCAAAATGAGATTGCTGAGCGCCGCATTGGCATGGTCATGGACGTCGCTCGTACGTCCATGATGCATGCGGCTGCCCCCCATTTTCTGTGGCCGTTTGCGGTTCGGTACGCGGCGCATCAGATCAACCTTCACCCCAAGGTCTCCATGCCGGAGACCTCCCCAGCTCTGCTGTGGACGGGGAAGGTAGGCGATGCGTCAGCGTTCCGTGTCTGGGGATCTCGGGCGTTTGTCCGCGACTTGTCTGCGGACAAGCTGTCCCCTCGTGCTGCTCCTTGTGTCTTCCTTGGCTTCCCCCCTGACGCACCAGGGTGGCAGTTCTACCACCCCTCCTCTCGTCGTGTTCTGTCCTCTCAGGACGTCACGTTTGACGAGTCGGTCCCCTACTACCGTCTCTTCCCCTACCGCACTCCTTCCCTCCCCCCACCGCCGCTCTTCCTTGTGCCAGGTCCCCCCCAGGTATACCCCCTCCCCCCTCAGGGTCCTGCCCCTTCAGGTGTGTCCCAGGTAGACGCACTCGAGCCGGTCGAGGTTGCTGGTGACTCTGGTACTGCTGCGGGTGCTGAGCCTGGGGGTGCTGACTCTGGGGGTGCTGCGCGAGTGGGTGCTGAGCCTGGGGGTACTGAGCCTGGGGGTGCTACGTCTGGGGGTGCTGAGCCTGGGGGTCCTTCGCCTGGGGGTGCTGCGTCTGGAGCTGCTGAGCCTGGGGGTACTGAGTCTGGAGCTGCTGAGCTTGGGGGTGCGGAGCCCGCGGCCGCTGGACCTGCTCGTGTGGCGTCTGGCGGTGCTGGGCCTGGTGGTTCTCCGGGTGCTTCGTCTCGGCGGGAGCCACTCTCTCCACAGGAGCTGCGCGAGTGGTTTGCCCGGCGCTGGAGGCGTATTGCTGGAGCTGGTGCTTCTTCGGCTGCTGAGGGTGCTGGTGCCGCCGGTCTCGGAGGTGCTAGCCTTGGGAGTGCTGGAGCTGCTGGGCCTGCGAGTGCGACTTGAGTCGGAGCTGCTGAGGGTGTTGGCGCTGAGGCTACTGCTGTCAGTACTAGCGGCGGTCCTGCTGCGGGTGCTGCTGGTGCTGCTGGAGGTACTGGAGCTGGAGGTGCTGTTGGCGCTGGTGCTGCCACTGGGGGTGCTGGTGCTGTCTCTGCTGTGTCTGAAGTCGCTGCGCGGCCTCCGCCGTACTTTGTTCCGCCCCTTCAGCAGGTTCTTGGTCTTCCTCCTCCCTTAGAGTGTCCACCGCCTGTCCAGTCACAGTCACAGTTACCGCCGGCCTCCCCACTGCCTGCTCCTTCTCCCAACACTGGTCCTACTGGAGGTCTTGCTGAGCGTCGTGAGCCTGCGTCTCGTCCTGCGTCGCCTGTTCGTGCTGCTCGCGCTAGTGGTCGCGGTTCGCGTCAGCGTCCTCCTCTTGTCCCTGGCACGCACCGGATGTCTCTGCGTCCGTCCACTGCTCCTCTGCGAGCCCCTTTGCCTTCTCCTCCTGAGTCCTCTCTTCCTGCCCTTGCCGACCCGGAGTCGGACTCTCTTCGTGCTGCCAGTCCTACTGTCACGCGTCTACTTGCTACTGTCGTCACTGACCCCTCTTTTGAGTCCACTGCTGCGTCTGCTCTAGTCGATGAGCTCGTCGACTTTGCTGCTCGCTGTCGTCTAGACTACGCTGCTAGTCTCGTTGCTGAGTCTGCGTCTGTCTGTCCTCCGTCCGTCGGGGGTGAGTGTGCTCTTGGCACGGACGTCCTTGAGGACAGGCAGGAGGAGTTCCAGTGTCTGGCTGCTGCTTCACCTCATCTCGTGTCCGTACTGCTTACCCCTGAGGGAGACCCGGATGCACTTGACATCCCGACTCCGCGCTCTTACGCGGAGGCCGTAGAGGGTCCCTACTCCTCTTAGTGGCAGGCAGCTATGGATGCAGAGATGGCTTCCTTGAAGTCCACAGGCACCTACGTTGACGCGGTTCCCCCACCTAGGGCGAACATCGTCAGTGGCATGTGGATCTTCAGGGTGAAGCGGCCGCCGGGTTCTCCGCCTGTCTTCAAGGCGCGGTACGTGGCTCGTGGCTTCAGTCAGCGGCAGGGAGTTGACTACTTTCAGACCTTCTCTCCCACCCCGAAGATGACCACTCTTCGGGTGCTGCTACACATAGCCGCTCAGCGTGACTACGAGCTTCACTCCCTTGACTTCAGCACTGCTTTCCTGCAGGGTAGCCTGCACGAGGAGATCTGGCTGCGCCGTCCACCTGGCTTCACTAGGACTTTCCCTCCTGGCACCCAGTGGAGCCTCCGACGGCCAGTCTACGGTCTCCGCCAGGCACCGCGCGAGTGGCACGACACACTGAGGACTACGCTTGCGGCTCTTGGGTTTGCTCCCTCTACTGCTGACCCGTCGCTGTTTCTACGCACCGACACCTCTTTACCGCCGTTCTACATCCTCGTGTACGTCGACGACTTGGTCTTTGCCACTGCTGACACTGCTGGACTCGCCCACGTGAAGTCCGAGCTTCAGAAGAGACACACGTGCACAGACCTGGGTGAACTGCGCAGCTACCTTGGCTTGCAGATCACCCGGGACAGAGCACGCCGCACCATTACCCTGACTCAGTCACACATAGTGCAGCAGGTCCTTCAGCGCTTCGGCTTCACGTACTCCTCGCCTCAGGCCACTCCTCTGTCTACTCGCCACTCACTCTCAGCTCTGCCTTCGGATGAGTCCGTAGAGTCAAGTGGCTCGTATCCAGAGCTTGTTGGCTGCCTCATGTACCTGATGACCTGCACACGACCTGACCTTGCATACCCTCTTAGCATTGTTGCACGCTATGTTGCTCCGGGGAGACACTGACCAGAGCACATGGCTGCAGCGAATAGGGTGTTGCGCTACTTGTGCAGTACGTCGGGCATGGGGCTAGTGCTTGGAGGGCAGAGTCCAGTGGTCCTCACTGGGCACGCGGACGCTTCTTGGGCTGACGACCAGGCTACGCAGCGGTCGTCACAGGGTTACACCTTCAGCCTTGGTTCCGGCTCTGTTTCGTGGCGGGCTACTCGCTCGTCTTCTGTTCTCGGCTCCAGTTGTGAGGCCGAGATCTACGCCGGGGCCATGGCTGCATAGGAGCTTCGCTGGCTCACCTACCTGCTGACCGACCTTCGAGAGCCGCCTCGTTCTCCTCCAATCCTGTATGTAGACAACAAGGCCATGCTGGCCTTGTGTCGAGAGCAGAGACTGGAGCACAGAACAAAGCACATTGCTCTTCGCTACTTCCTTGCTCGTGAGCTACAGCAGCGTGGTCAGTTGCGGCTTGCGTACTTGGCCTCTGAGGCCAACACTGTTGATGTTTTCACCAAGGCACTTGCGCCTTGTGATCATCAGCGCTTCTGTACTCAGCTTGGTCTTGTGCCTGTCTTGCCTCACTTGCTCACTTCTTGACCTTGCTTGTACTGTCACATATATATACTCCTGCTCTTGCTTGCTTAGCCTCTCATATATATATATGTGCTCCTGCATGTGAACTGGCCTTCTGGCCTTGAACTTGTGCTCGGACTGTGTGGTGACTTTGTGATCCACCCTGAGCTTTGCTTTGCTTTGCTTGACTGGTCTTGTGACCCCTTGTTCTCCCGCACTTTGCCTATGGGGGTGTGTCAAATTATAATGTTGTCTATGCTTTAGTGGGGTAGCCCATATGGGGTACACATTTCTAGGGTTGCATATTTGTATCACTTTCATTCCATAGTCATTCCATTCTCGTTCTAATTTCCTCACTAAGCGCCTCTGTCGTGTCGAAACACTAAAGACACAAGTGAAGCAACGCATATCGAGGCACGAGTCAACCCTCGGAAGTTGAAGCAACAGCTGGAGGTTACGCGAAGGTCAAAGGTCAGCGACCTTTGACTTGACAAATGCAGCGCGACAGCAAGGACACACAACTGACTCGATATTGAGCAGTTGCCCGAGTCGCACTGTATCGAACCGCAACAGCCAACTGTAAAACAGTTATCATTCGTATTCCTTGTAATCATATATAAAATCTTGTATCTCATTGTTTTAATCAACTTGCTTCGCCCTCACATACCGTCATCACCAGGATATACCCCCAGGCCTATGTTACACCCATGCGGTTATAATCGTACTAGTGGGCTTATAGCCGGTTGCCGATTATAAGCCCACCCCAAGTTGTGTCAATCTTCGTATAAGCGCACCCAATGAATTCAGGTGTTTTTTTGTAGCGAAATCACCACTAACGCGCCTAAACGAATCGTCACAGACGTGCCTGACGAAATCCCCCCTGGCTCGCTTGGCAAAATTGCCACAGGAGGTGCACGTGCGCGAAATCTGCAACATTTGAGCAGGTGCTGACTCGGATTCTTGACTGTACGACACATTCTTGGAACTTTTCAGCAGCGATCCTCTTTGTGTAAGCATCGATTTAAATCGCCAGGGTGAAATCTGCATTCCAGTGTTATAAAATCAAAATTCCATAAGTGTCATTTATTTAGCCCATGGGGTTATAAAATTTACCACATAATAAGCCCACCCACCATTTTTCCAGGTTTTTTTACACCCCCACCTGGGGGTATATCCGGGTGATGACGGTACTAGCGCAAGGTGGTTCAGAATCTCTTTGTTAACGCTTCCGCTACTACATCATTCTACCTAGAGATTAACCCTACCAAAGATCCTAAGGGGCACTCAGCCCAACAGATAGGACATGTTGAGATCGTGTGAGATGATGCGAGGGAGGGCTGTGATGGAATGGGAGTGAACTTAGTGTGCGGGCGCGCGCGCTGTGAGGTGCGAGATTGGAAAACGAGGGCGCTACCAGGAGGCTCCGCGCGGGGAGTTGAAGGCACGCAGCAGGCCCATGAGGGTGGGCGAGATGGTGGGCGGCGACAGCGCCTCGTCGTCCGTGTGTCGCATCATGTCCAGCGGGCGCCTCACCGGCACAAATATCTCCGGGGGCTCCCCGTCCCTGCTGCCACTGCCCATGCCCGACCCCTCTGCTGCCCCCGCGCCCGCCCCCGACTGGCAGGTGTCACGAGCAGGGGCGCCTGAGGACGACAGTGCAGTGCGCTGGGGGGAAGGGGGCGCTGCGGGCGGTGCAGGTGCGGCGGAGGCAGCGAGTGCGGGTGCGGGGGGGGGCAGGAGCAGGTCGAGGTCCATCTCCATGTGCACCGCCTTGTACCGCGGCTCCCCTCCCCCGCGCTGCGCCTCTGCCCTGTTGGGCACTGGCAGCGCCTGCAGCTGTAACAGCACGGGGTCCTGTGTGGGGGGTTGGGCCGCTGCTGGCGGCGAGGGCACAGGCGGGCAGGCAGGCGGGGAGAAGGGGGGCGCGTGGTTGATCTCGTGTGAGTCATTTGGCCGCGCTGCTGCCTTTGGTGAATGCACTCCTGCGAGTGTGGCAGCAAAGGGGCCCCACATTATCCTGGACGCGCCCTGCTGGCCGTGCTGCTCGCTGGCGTCCTCCTGCCACTTGAACCCTTGTGCATCCATGGCTGCCTGCGCTGGCAGCGTCAGGGAAGGCACGCCCGCTGACTCCCCCACACCACCCATGCTCTGCTCGCCTCTGCCTTGCTGCTCGCCCTCGCCCCTACCTCCCCCTTCTCCACCATGCTCCCCCCCACCTCCATCTACATCCCCCATCTCTCTCTCGCCTCCCAGCCCCTCCTCCCCTGCTTCATACCGTAACTCCCCTGCACAACCCCCCTCTTCCGCCCCTCGCCCGTTTCCAACGAAGCCCCTGTCCCCGCCCCCTGCCCCTGCTGGCAGGGCGGTGGCGGCGGCACGAGTGTGAGTGGCAGCAGCAGCGGTGTGCGGCCACAGGGAGGTGCTGGGCGGCCAGGCGGCACGTGGGGCAGAGCGAGAGGCGACGGAAGCGAGGGGTGAGATGGGCGAGGTGAGAGCGCCAAAGTGACTGCCCGCTGCTGGCACGCTGCTGGGGGTGCCTGCACCTTCTTCTCCACTGCCGGTACCTGCTGCTGCCGCTGCTGGTGCTGGTGCTGCTGCTGCTGCTGCTGCTGCATAGCGAGGCCAGGTGGTAGGAGGGGCGGCGGCGGATGCAGCAGGGCTGAAGAGGGAGGCCGCTGGCGTGAACGGGTGCTTGGTGGCGGCAGCGGGGGAGCAGGGCGAGGGCAGGGAGGAGTGGCGGGGAGTGGCGGTCTCGCCCTGCATGGAGCAGCTGCGCTCCAACGCACGTGCACTTGCTTCCGTGCATGCAAATGCTGCCATGCCACCATGCTCCGATGCGTCTGCGGTGCTGGGAATAATGATGCGGAACCCACCAAATTCACCAGCATCGTCATCGTCATCACCCTCACCCTCGCCATTGCCATTGCCATTGAATCGCTTTTCAAGCTCCTCAAAAGCGCCATTGGCATTGCCATTGCCATCGCCGTTGCCATTGCTGCGAGTATCCGCCAGGGGGGCACGGTCTTCCACCCCATAGGAAGCATCTCGTACATTCGCGTGCTTGGGCTGTGCTGCGCCTGCTGTCAAAGCACCCTCACCCTCTGCTGCTGCTCCCACCCCCGCCACTTGCTTGTCACTCTCCTGTTCCGCGTGCCTCCCTTGCCCATGTGACCCTAGTTCTTGCTTGCCGCCAAGCACTGCTGCCGCACTGCCTGCAACAGCCACTGCAGCACCATCACTCCTGCCATCGCCACTCACCGCCCCAGACGCGCCAGCAACAGCAGTAGCAGCGCGAAGGGCACCCCTGCCCCCGCGGGTGGGGTGCCATGGGCGAGCAGAGGGGTCGGATGGGGCAGGCCCGCCGCTGCTGCTGCTCATGAGGCCTGAGGAGGAGGGCGCGGGGCGGTGGCGTGAGAGGGGGCGGTCGTGGTTGTGCGCGCCGTTGTAGAAGACGCGGAACTTGCTGGGGTCGTCGTTGCACCGCTCCACCTGCCTCAGCGCCGGGCAGCGCAGCCCGCGCTTCAGGGAACACTTGTAGTACTCACTGCCACGCACACACACATGCCATTGGGGGGGGAGGGGGTTGTTGGGAGGGCGCATGGAGGCGAGAATGTGAGGGGCGGAAGAGGTTGGGAGGGTAACGAGCAGGGAGGAGTACGGTAGCATGGGAAGGAAAGAAGGGAATTGGTGCAGCAGAGAATGTTGTGGTGCATGCAGGGTGGGGAGTGCCCCGTGTGGCATGGCTGACCGTGGAAAGTAGTTATCAACGATGGGCTTCTCCCCGTACTTGCGCCAGTGCCACCCGTCGTCCAGCGATGTCAGGATCACCGCATCCTCCGTCGCTGCTCTCGGCCTGTGGGCGTGCACGGCACAGTGGGAGGGGGGGGCGCAGGGAGGAGAGGCAAGGTCATGGGTGGTGAGTCAGCCAGCACAGGGGAGGAGATTGAGAGGCGGGCACGCAGAGCTGCGATCAGCATGGCAAGTGAGAACCCGCAAACTGCCATGGCATGGTGCAAGCATGGCACGGTGCACGACAGTGCGTGCATGGCGTGCCTTACCTCTTGATGCGTTTGCTGCCGTCACTGGCGTTGCCCCCCTTGGAGCCTCTGGTGCCCCCTGTGTCCACTGACATCTCTGATGCGCGCCGCCGCACCCCCACCCCTCCCCTTCCACCCTCACCGCCTGCACTGCCCGCACCATACGCTGCTCCCCGTGCATCCCCATTGGCCATGCGCCCTACCCCATCGCCCCCACGACCCCGTGACAGGCTGGCAGCAGGCGTGGCAGATGCGGCGAGTGGGCTTGGAGTGGAGCCCTCAGCGCTGCCACGCAACACCACCGCTCCAGCGCTGGGGCCCGCTGTGCCCGCCGTGCTCTCCTGCCGCTCCAGCGCTGCAACCCCATACTCCCACTCGCCGCCCATGCTGCCACCCACAGCCGCAGGGGCAGTGGGGGCGGTGGGTGCAGGCTGGGGGGAAAGAGCGGGCAGGGTGGAAGTGGGCGAGGGGGTGAGATCCGTGGGAGAGGTGGGCGGGCGCACAGTGGATGCACCGCCGCCATCACTGCCACTGCCGTCACCACCGCTGCTGTCGCTGTCGCTACCGCTGCCAGCACCACACTGTTGCCCACTCCCTGCCCGTGCCAGCCTGCCCTGCCCCTCACACTGTGCTGCGGCCTGGGAGTCAGGCTGTGGGGATGGACTGCACGACCGGCTGTGCTGCTGCTGCTGCTGCTGCCGCCGCTGCTGCTGCTGCTGCTGCTGCTGCTGCTGCTGCTGCTGCTGCTGCTGCTGCTGCTGCTGCTGCTGCTGCTGCTGCTGCTGCTGCTGCTGCTGCTGCTGCTGCTGCTGCTGCTGCTGCTGCTGCTGCTGCTGCTGCTGCTGCTGCTGCTGCTGCTGCTGCTGCTGCTGCTGCTGCTGCTGCTGCTGCTGCTGCTGCTGCTGCTGCTGCTGCTGCTGCTGCTGCTGCTGCTGCTGCTGCTGCTGCTGCTGCTGCTGCTGCTGCTGCTGCTGCTGCTGTGGCGTGTGTGGTGAATTGAGGCCAGATGAGGCAGCCGGGCGAGTGGAAGCAAGGAGTGTGGCCATGCAGCCTGCATCCTCGGCCACGCCCTGCCGCTGCCCTGCGCCCCCCTCTTCTCCAGACTGCACCCCTGTCCTCCCACGCACATCCTTACCATGGCCCTGCTCTCCTCGCCCCCCACTCGTCCCCTCCGCTGCCGACACACGCATGTCCCCTTCCTGCCCCATGCCCCCCGCCCCTGCAGCAGCAGCAAGGGTGGCGGCAGGGTTGCAGAGGTGGCGGGGGCGGGGGGCGGTATGGGCGGGCAGGGCGAGGTCATGCTCCGAGGGCCAGGAGGACGCCGTGCTTAGAGTGGGCGACGCTGTGCCGTCCGCCACGCGCATCGCCCCGCCACCTCCTGCCATTGCTGCCAGCCCTTCGCCCCCACCACCCACATCCAGCGCCTGCAGTTCTGCCTTGGCGGCCCACCCATGCTGACCCCCCGCACCCTCTGCCTGCGCGTGCCCCTGAGCGTCCCTCTGCGCGTGACCACGGCTGCCGCTTGCAGGCTTGCCAGTGAGCCCCGCGCCCCACGGAGTGCGCGCACGCAGCCCGCTGGGGCTGGCCTGCACGTCGCTGCCCACCCCGCCCACAGCAAACGCGAAGCCCGAGCCCTGGCTCTGACTGCCTCCACCTCCTGCTGCCACCCTCGCCTCCCGCCCTGCCTCTGCACTTGCCATAGCACCGCCGCCCTGCACCCCTTGCCCACCCTTCCAGGCCTCGCCCTTTGTGCCTTTTGTCTGCATGGGCGGCCCACCATTGACTTGCTCACTCGCCCAAGGGCGCCTGTCTGCCATCGCCATTAGCCCTGCTGCCCCTCCTGCTGCCCCTCGCTCAACCTGCTCCTGCCCCTGCCCCTGCCCCTGCCCCTGCCCCTGCCCCTGCCCCTGCCCCTGCCCCTGCCCCTGCCCCTGCCCCTGCCCCTGCCCCTGCCCCTGCCCCTGCCCTTGCCCCTGCCCCTGCCCCTGCCCCTGCCCCTGCCCCTGCCCCTGCCCCTGCCCCTGCCCCTGCCCCTGCCCATGCCCCTGCCCCTGCCCCTGCCCCTGCCCCTGCCCCTGCCCCTGCCCCTGCCCCTGCCCCTGCCCATGCCCCTGCCCCTCACCCTGCCCCTGCCCCTGCCCCTGCCCCTGCCCCTGCCCCTGCCCCTGCCCCTGCCCCTGCCCCTGCCCCTGCCCCTGCCCCTGCCCCTGCCCCTGCCCATGCCCCTGCCCCTTACCCTGCCCCTGCCCCTGCCCATGCAGCTGGCCATGCACAAGGAACCCTGGTGCATGGGCGCGGGGCTTATTTGCCTCCCCCATAGACCCCTGTCCCACTCCCTGCAACCCATGCTGCTCTTCCAACCCCCCCTGCTGCTGCTGCTGCTGCTGCTGCAGGTGATTGTACAGCAGTTGTTGCAGCTGCGGAGGAAGCTGGCCTTGATTCTGCTGTTGAAGCAAATGCAGCAACGCTTGCTGTTGCTGCTTTTGTTGTTGCTGCTGCTGCAGCTGCAGTTGTTGCTGCTGTTGTTGCCACTGCTGCTGCTCCTGCTCCAGCAGCTGCTGTTGTGACTGTTGCTGCTTCTGCCCTGGCTGTGGCAATTGAACGACCTGTTGCCATTCGTGGTGATGATGCACTGGAATTGCCTGAATCTTCTGCTGCTGTTGCTGCTGCTGCTGCTGCTGCTGCTGCTGCTGCTGCTGCTGCTGCTGTTTATGCTGAGGCGACTGGGGGGTGACTGGCGTGGAGGCGACGAGTCGTTGGCAGGCGGCGAAGCAATCAATGCCTTGGCCACAGAATCGCTCTATCTTCCTGCGCAGAATGCTGGACATGGGAGGGGATGGATACCACGTGCGGCAACAAAACCATGAGCAGGAATAGCGAGGGAAGTTTAACAAGTACGAGGAGCAGATTGGGAAAAAGAGGGCCACATTGGGGTACTGAGGGCCACATACAAGTGACGACATGCGGTTCTTCCCCCTGCTCTCCCATTCCCTCTCCATTCCTCCATCCCTGCTCTCTCTTTCGCTCACGCACCCATGCATAGCCTGCCTGCTAACCACTCCCGCATTGCTGGGCGACGGCCAGTCCCCTCACCCCATGGCAACACGTGCACGTACATCACCAGCTCTTTGCTCTCCTCCGAGTCGCCGCTATTGCCGCCCATGCCTGTGCCGCCCGGTGCGCGCCAGTGCTGCGTGCTCGCGAGTTCAACGCACAGCAGGTCCACGTGCAGCCTCAGCCGCTCCGACAGCTGCACTGCCGCTGCCGCCGCCGCCCTCAGCGCCTCCAGCCCCTCTTCCCCTTCCGCCTCCCCCCCGCCCTGCGCCTGCCCTTGCAAGCGCTGCCCTGCCTCTGGCGCCAGGGCTTGAGTGCGCGGGTCCAATGAGCCGCCTGCCATCGCCATACCCTCTGCCCCTGCGTCCCCTCCCCTCACGCCCCGTGCCTCCCCCGAGCTCGCGCCACCAATGCGCCCCTGCCACGCGCGTGCACTGTCCCCCAGCCCGACCATCCCCGCGCGCGCTGCGCCACGACTGCTGTTCACACAGCTGCTGGCGCCCACCACGCCAGCCGCTGCTGGACTTTTCCCCCTCTGCGCACCTCCCTCAAGCCCGCGCTCACACTCCCCTACCCCGTCCTTCCCCGCGCCAAACCCCGTGACAGACGCAACGCCAGGACTGCTGGATGACGGGAGCCGCCCTCTCACTCCGTTGCAGGCGTAACCCCCCCACATCGCGCGCTCGACCGGCTCCGCTTCCCTCGAGTTGCCGCCCGCCACCTCGAAGCCCCCCTCGTCTGCGCCCCCTAAAGCGCCAAGCACGTCCTTCCCATTCACGTCCGCTCCTCTCCGCACTCCGCCGCACACCTGCCCGCCCAACAAGCTCTCCGCGCCGGCGGGACCTGCTACACCGCCACTCTGCGCAACGACGGGCGCGGGGCTCCACACACGCCCCGCCGTCCACTGCCCGAGCAGGTCCGCCAATCGACTGCTGCCGCCCAGCCATGTGCCGCTCGCGGTGCGCAGCGGGCCTGCTGTGTCGGCGGCGGGAAGTGATTCTACCCCTGCGCGGGACAGCGGCGCCCAGCCCGCCGCACCCGCGAAGCTGGACGACGCAGCGCCAGCGGCGGCGGCGGCACTTTCGGAGTTGGAAGAGAGGTGCGACGAGAGGAGAGCCGCGGTGCCCGGGTCCTGCTGAACAACCGCACCCTCCGTGGACAGCGGTGCTTGCTGCTGCTGCTGGTGCTGCTGCGGCTGCTGCGGCTGCTGCTGTTGTGTTGAGAGCAATTGAACGAGGCCTAGAAGCTCGTCCATCGAAGCCCCTCCAGAGTGCGGAAACATGCCCTTACGACACCGTGTGTGATACGTGGCGAACCGTTAGGCGAGGTGAGCCAGTCTTCCGCGATGAATGAACCCGTTTAGGTAGGCGAGTAGTGTGTGTGGTTGGCGAGTTCTGTGTGATCGGCGACGTATGTGTGACTGGCAAGTGGTCTGATAGGCGAGCAGAGCGTGGGTTGCAAGTGTGTGAGCATGGAACACTGACTTGGTTATACTAAGGTAAGCAGTAAAGCGTCGATTATACTTGATTATACTAAGGTAAGCAGTCGATTAGCTAAACAGGTAACTTACGGACAGCCCTCCCCTTCCCTACCCTCATCGTTGGAGCGAGGGTCGCAGAATCGTGCGATGTACAATTGATGCCCAACCAGTGCACGCGGTTTCGCCTTATGCCGGATGGAAACGCTGCACCCGAGGTTGTTTCCCCAGCCTGTTGCTCCCACGTTATAAGCGAGTCGCGTGGTTATCAACCAATAGTAACGAACAGACCGAGGTCGAGCAGAAGAGACTGAAGTCAAATAAGGTAACAGATCTTGTTTATAAGCACCTGCGAGTCCTTTTTAGCTAGCTGCGAATTGACGAAACTTATGCGACGGGCTTTTCAAAGCTTATACGCCCTCTTCACAAGGCAACCGGGAGGGGCTCAAACAGGCATCAATTGTAGTTGATTGGTTTACTCGCACCGCAACAGTTGCTTCTGTGACCCACCCACCCATCCGCTCGTGTCCCACAGGTAGTTGACTTTTCGTCCACACCACTCAGTTTTGTGGAAGTCACACATTTGTAGGGTTCTTTCGATGGTACTCTGCGAGTCCGGGTGAGCTGTCTACATCCTTTGCTAGAAACGCTACCCATATGATATTTCTTGATTATGTCAACTGCTCCGTCCAGAGTGCCCAGCATGTGCTGTGTTCAGCTGTATCTGTAATCTAAGCACTAAAGGTTTGCTACAAGAAGATTCGGGGGGGACGCGTGCTCTGATGATCTGGGCGCTCACCCGGAAATCCTGATATTGAAGGGTGTCCTAAAGGAGAGCCCTGGTTCGGAAAATGTCAACACAGCACAGTAGCGTTGCATCCGTGAGCTGGTGTACAGTGCGAGCTAGCCCACCGCACGTCACCAACAGTGTCCTCCAGACACACTGTTTTCCCAGACCCCGCTGGTTTCCAGCCCTTGCTTCGCCCAACCGTTCTCCCCGCGCAATCGCTCTCTGAGCCTTCGCATGGAGTTGAGAGCCTCTAGCTCCAAAATAGATGGTTCAGATTGCGTGGTACCATCTCTCGTGTACCTTCGTTGATGGCATCGGGTAACACAACCCCCAAACCTGCACACATTGCCCTGCCAAGTGGCATGTTTGTTTGCATGTACATTGCGATGCTCGTCTAAGAAAATGTAGACACTGAACAAGTATACTTGTAAGGAAAATTCCTTTTCCTTACTTCGCATCCCTACTCAACGCATACATCACTGTAGCACCACAGTCAGCACCGTTACCACTCGCAACCCTCGCATCGACAATCCGCCCGCCACATTCGCACATCGCACCCCGACCTCATGGCTCGGCGGGTAACCCGCGCTCCGGGCTTCCGCTTCGACACTTTTTCCCAAGCTCAGTCCCAGGCCCGTCGCGCGACAACCACAGTCCATTACCGTTACCACTGTAGTTTCGCTATATATTCTTCGCTCATGCCTTCGCTCACTGTACTCTTGCTTCGATAGTGCAATTCTCATTCGTTCATTCAATTGCACTCGTACCACTTGGTATTCAGAGCCTACGATCTCCTCTCGGACCGCACCCACACCTTCGCTTCCCCACTATCTCAATTTTTTGGGGGGGGGGTAGACGTCTCTCAGCGACACATCATCGCCGCTCGTAGTGCTCTCTCGTAAGCACGCACGGCCACGACCGAGGCTCTCGCTGAGCTCGCCCGACACCCCCGCCATGGCCGAACTCACGCTCGCCACATTGACGCAGGGGCAGCTCGACCGACTGGTGCGCCAACTTGAAGATTCGGCGCTCGAAATCGCGACGCTCACGGCGGAACGTGACTCCGCGCGTCAGCAATCAACGATGCACACTCCAGCGCCACCACACGCACCGACAAATGCATCTGCACAATCAGACGAGCCGATCGTCATCTCGTCCGGCACACCAACACAAAACAACAGCGCGGGACAGCGCTCAGTCGCAGCCAGCGATGGCGCCGCCCAGCCGATGCCTGGCATGGGAGCAAACAGGGTCGCACCAAGCCCGCGGGAGCCTCGCGAAGCCCGTCGACACGTGGAGTTCGCGGTGACAAGTGGCGAACAGACCATTATGGCACCAATGACACTCAAGCCGCAACGCCCGCCCTGCTTCGACCCGAGCCTGCGTGGAGGTCCGACGGTTCAATCGTGGGTCTTCACGATGAACGTCTTCTTCGACGCGAATTACGTCGAGTTGGGCGCAGCAAAGATTCGGTATGCCGTTTCGCTGCTAACGGGCCCCGCCATGGACTGGTGGCGAGTCATCGTGACGTCGCCACGCGCCTATGAGCCACCGTCGCAAGAGGAAGGGCCCACGGGCCCAGCTGTCACCTGGAGTTCATTCTGCGAGACCGCCCAATACAGCACGTGGGATGTGTGGTGCGCAGGGCTTCGGGCACGCTTCGAGCCGATCGCGGCTTCTATTTCGGCGCGTCAGAGATAGCGCATTTGGCGGCAGCTTGGATCGGTTCAAGACTATACGAGTGGTTTTCTCGCATTATGCGAGCAAGTTGGCTACATGCACGAAGCGAAGCGGGTGGACCGTTACGTCGGAGGGCTGAAGCCGGACATATGCGGGCTCTCGAACTTCAACGAGATTCTCGCGCTCGCCGAGAAAATCGACATTTTACGCCGTCCGAGACCGGGGTCCTACTATGGACATCGTCCTCGGGGACCGATCGAACACGCCACTGTACACGCTGTTGCGACGAATGCAGTTGCCGCACCGTTTAAGGGGCGCTGCTTTGCTTGCAACAGGCCGGGCCATTGCAAGAGCGAATGCCCAGAGGAGCTAAGGCGCCGCGGAGCAGAGCAGGGGAGGGAGTCTCCAAAGCAGGGAAACGCCAGCAGTCAGTAGGAATCGGGCCAACTCCTGACGAGACTGCCTGCTCGCCCAACCCCACCGACCCTCACCGAGTCACAGTACCGATTCATGCTATCGATCGGACTTGGACGAATAAGGAGGGTACAGCGACGGATTGCCCAGTACTGATCCACGGGAAAATACAGGGAGCAGCAGTGAAGATTTTTATCGACGGGGGAGCAAGCCACAGTTTAGTTAATACCGCAACCGCACAAAAATTGCAGCTGACGCTTAGCCGTTTCTTACCGGAGATAGACGCACGCTTAGTCGACGGCACACCACTAGCCATACGGGAAAAAGTAGAGAGAGTCAAAGTCCGCTGCGGGGGAAATTTCGGGTTTACACAGGAAATGCTCGCAAGGACGCTGGATGGGCACGATATTTTACTGGGACGTGATTGGCTGCGACGGTATAACTCGCGAATTGACTGGACGACGGGTAGCTGCACCGTGCGAAGTAGTGGTAACTGGGTCGAGCTATCTCGCTGGCTGTCGCCCGAGTCTTCAACGGTACACGTCAACGCCATCACAATGAAACGGGCTGTCGCTGCTGGAGCTGACGTGTACGCAGTAGACATCGCAGTAGTAGAGGAAGCAGAGCTGCCGAGTGATTTCAAGAAACTGCTGGCAGCCGTACCGCCCGAATTACAGGAACTGTTGAAACGATACCCCGGGATTTTCCCCGACAACTTACCGGAAGGACTGCCACCTCAGCGAGTACATGACCACCGAATCGAATTAGAACCGGGGGCACAGCCAACCGTACAGCGCCAGTTCAGAGTGACACAGCCCGAGCTCAACGAACTAAGGAAGCAGTTAGACTACCTGTTAGAGAAAAAATTCATCAGACCGAGCTCGTCACCGTTCGCCGCACTGATACTATTCACGCCGAAAAAAGACGGGGGTTTTCGCATGTGTATCGACAAAAGAGCACTGAACAGGGTAACAGTCAAGTCGCGGTACCCCATTCCCCGCGTCGACGAACTGATCGACCAACTGCGAACAACACGGGTTTTTTCGAAAATAGATTTACGGGGAGGTTACCATCAGATTAGGGTCGAACCATCGGACTGCGCCAAAACAACTTTCAGGAATAGGTACGGGTCGTTCGAGTACACTGTGATGTCAAACATTATATATGTTGTGCTTGTTTAGGCTACAGTGGGTTAGCCTATAGGGGGTACACAATTCTAGTGTTAGGTACTTGTACTGATTTCACTGTTAGTTCAATCATTCCTGTTCGTTCATTCAGACATGGTATAGAGCAGGTCCTTCGCTAGGACCGTTTTTTTTAGGGCCCACCACTACCTACCTACCTACCTACCTACCTAACTGCGCCCTAGGGCGCCTCGTTCTTCACAGCCCCCTAAGGCCCCGCGACCCGCGACCCGTCCCTTAGCGACCTGCGCGCCGCCCCTTAAGGCCCCGTCGGCCCACGCGCTCGCCCCTTACGGCCCCGCGCTCGCCCCCGTCGGCCCCGCGCTCACCTCCCTAGAGGCCCTCGTTGGCCCCGCACTCGCCCCTAGAGGCCCCTTACGGCCCCGCGCTCGCCACTAGAGGCCCTGAACGGCCCCGCGATTGCCCCTAGAGGCCCTTCACGGCCCCGCGCTCGCCCCTAGAGGCCCCGAACGGCCCCCACGCTCGCCCCTAGCGGCCCCTTACGGCCCCGTGCTCGCCCCTACAGGCCCCGAACGGCCCCGCGCTCGCCCTTAACGGCCCCTTACGGCCCCGCGCTCGCCCCTAGAGGCCCCGAACGGCCCCACGCTCGCCCCTAGAGGCCCCGAACGGCCCGTGACCGCCACAGCCTCTCCAGGACCGAGCCGAGCCGCGCGACCCGAACCGAGCCGCCCAGTCCGAGCCGAGCCGCG